GTAGTGATACTGGAACCAATCAAAGCATATAAACCTGGATCCAATCTCAAGATGGTCACCATTGGTCCCAAATCAGAGTCTCCTCAGTGAAATTTGTCCAATTTTTTTTTTTTTTTTTTAGGAATCCCAGAGTTTCTTAAAACCGATGATGATGTTTTTCAGTCTTCTTGTTGTTTACAGTGAAAATAAGGCAGTATTATAGATGAGTATTAAAAGAGAGTTTTATATGATTGTGATTAGTACTGTGTTTATATATACTAAAAGCTTTAAAAGCATATACTATAAATTGTACATAAATAATCATGGTACTTTTTCTCCTAATAGTAACAACTGCCATGAGAAAAAAAACCGTATTTAAAGTTTATGGGCTTAATAGAGTTTGGTTTTTAAAATCCTTCCTTGTCAACAATTGTAGAAACTATCTTTCTATACATTTGGCATGAATTAAAAAGATTCTACCTGAAAAATTACTAAGGAATTTGATTTTAAAGCAAGAGACAGGTAACTGAAATTCAGTTATATAGATTATTAAGTGTTATTCAGATTGTTGTTGTAAGGTGTGGTGAAGTTGGCACCTACTCATCCCCATTCACAACAGAATGAAGCCCTGCCCAGCCTGTACCATCCTCATAGTCGTTGCTGTGTTTGAGCCCGTTATTGCATCCACTGTATCAGTACATCTCAGTAAGGGTCTTTTTCTTTTTTGTTGACCCATTGCTTTACCAAGCATGATGTCTTGCATGGTCTTAATAACATGTCCAAAGTATGTGAGATGAAGTCTCAACATCCTTGCTTCTAAGGAATATTCTGGCTGTACTTCCTCCAAGATAGATTTGTTCATTCTTCTGGCAGTCCATGGTATATTCAATATTCTTTGCAAGGACCATAATTCAAAGGCATTAATTCTTCTTTAGTCTTCTTTATTCATTGTCCAGCTTTTGCGTGCATATGAAGTGATTGAAAATACCATGGTTTGGATTAGGCACACCTTAGTCCTCAAGGTGGACATCTTTGCTTTTTAACACTTTAAAGAAGGTTTTTGCAGAAAATGCAATATCCAAATTGTAGCAATTGAATTTTCAGTTTGGTAGATATGGAACTTCATATTAGAAAAGAAATTTCCTTTATCCCAATTGTATCTTAAGACCATTTAAATTGCTAATATTTTTGTTAACTCTTTTTTAGTGATGTCTTTATGCTTTTTTTACTTTCTTTGTTCTTTCATGATTCTTCGATATATAACATCAAAATAGTAAAAGAAATAATAGATTATTTTAAAAATTAACTTTTATAAAATTTATATTTTCTCTATATAAATTAAAAAAAAGCCTCATTAGTAACTGGATTTTCAGCCTAAAGAGAAATTTGGAGGGCATTTAGATATGATTACCTGAAAAGTTTATCCTTGTAAAAAAAAAAAGTAAAAAATATTTTTAAAGTATAGTATATTTTTTATTTGAGGATCATAAAATTCTTTATCAACCATAACTAATGAATCCTCTTAATTCCCCTCTCTCCACCCCATCTCCACTCTCAGGGCTTTGTTGGAATGGGTACAGAGAAAATAAACCCAGCTGCACTGGGTAACTGCAGATCTCCAAATGAAAACTGGGAACCTTGGTCAGAAAATTTGGCTAATTTAGAAGGCAGTTGGTAGTGGAATATCTTACTCATGGAGCACTTAACTTCTTCCAGTTCAGTAACTATTTTCATTGCCGACTCCAGAAAATTAAGGTGTCCTTATTAGGTATTGTAAGAAGCTAGCTTTTTCCCCCAATCTAATTAAAGCACATAAATTTTATTTAGCATATTAATGTAGAAATACTCTGCTTCTATTTTATCAATCAAAGAAAAATAGAACACATGACTTTAGTTTCTGCTATTAAATTCTTTGCAAACACATGAAAAATAATACTGATATTTAAATTAGAAAAGTAATAGTGATACAGTGCCTTAAAATAATACTAATGAGCTTTCTTCCTTCTTGAATGAAAAGGAATGCACTACTTACATATGGAGGCTCCCGTCAAGGTTATTCACAGAGATCTCAAGTCAAGAAATGGTAACGTAGTCATATATTTTAATATTTCCTGTTTTATTACAATTACGTGCACCTATATATAGAAATAAAACTCAGACTCTGCATAGCTTTTATAACTTTCTGTTTTGATTCATTACTGTTACTATGAAAATCTTTCATCTGTTAATAAATATCAGAATTCTTTATGTTATTTGAAGAGGCTGCATAGTATTTCCCTATTTCACTCTATGGCTATAGAATTGAATGTGCATATTTGGATTCTTAACTTTTTTCCTGTGATAAAAAAAAAGTTAGGGTTAATACCTTTCAACCAAGTTTTTCAACACATCCTTAATTATTTCCCTAAAATCATTTTCTAAAAGAGATATCTCTAGGTCAAAGTGTGTAGCTGTGTATTTTTAGTGTTTTTTTTTTTTTATTTTTAGATGGTTTTGTTCTTGTTGATTGTGAATTAGTTGGTGTAAATTTTTTGTTAGTCATGCCCATATTACCTGGAACAGTACCCAGAAATGGTTTGGTCTGCATGTTTAGGAGTTTGGAATGTAAAGGCTTTCTTGTTCTTCTTTGTCTTCTTCTGTACTTTATAAAGTTACTTATGATCATATATTCTATAATTTGTGGAGTGAGTGTTTTAAAACAACTTGCAGGATTAGACATTACCTTCAAGTAGGAGAATGCAGAAGCATTCCATTACATCACTTGAAATTTAATGGAGAAAGGCAGGAGGATGATTTAGCTGTCCAGACCTAGCTAAAGTAAACACTGGAGCTTGCTACTTTTAAAAAAAGAAAATCTTGCTATCAATTAATTAATTATTTTCACTCTTTCTAAGTGATTCTTATAAATAAGGAGAAGGAGAACTTTTTATCTTTACATAATTTTCAAGTCACTGAAGTTTAAAATAGGTATACACTAATAGTGCATTCCTGAAAATGGGTGGTGATGGCAAGTGGAGGAGGAGGACCAGGGAATTAACCAGCTGTGCTTGCTCCTACCCAGGCCTGTGAGGTCTGTGTGATCCTGCCAGTAAACACCGGCTGATTGTTCTTTTCCTCTTCTAGATCATCACTAATCCTTTGACTCTTAGACATAAGCTTCCTGGAGTTAAACACTTTGATATATAGTTGGCTAGCAGGAAGTCATTAGTAAATGATCTAGAATTTATTAGAAAGTATCAGTTTTATGACTTTCAAATTTTCCGATCATACTCAGAATTTCAATCTAAATAAGTTGTTTGACTTCTTTCCTTATTTAATCGGCATATCCTGAATATTCCATGGAAGAAAAGTGATTAAGTAATAGGTTTTGCCATGGTATCACTATAAAGATTGTATAATGATAGAGAATGTCTCTATTTTTAAAAAAATCACAATTTATGTAGTTATTTGATAAGAAAACAAACACTAAAAGAATATAGACCTAAGTTTTAGCAGCTTTTCTTTTTTTTGTTTTGCTTTTCTGGGAGAGGAGACTAAAAAGACTGTTTCATTTTCTGTTACTTATTTTTTATAATGTTAGGTTTTGGGGGGTTTTTAAATGAGCACTTGTTAATCTTATAATGAGTAAAAAGCTATAGATGTATTTTCAAAAATAACTGAATATTTACAATAATAAACTACATGAAATATATGCACGTGTATGAATATGTTCATAACTTATTACTTATAATATCACATTTACCTTTGGGCTATTTCTACATACTAGATTGTATAAAGATTATTTCCCCCATTTATCAAAATCATCAGTAACAGCTTATAATAAGTATTGGTCATCTACCATGTTCAACGCACTGTGTGGCTTATAAAAGAAAGACCAGAAACCGTTCTTCAGAGTTCTGTCCTTGACTTCCTCCCCTCTGCTGTTGTGTCCTCCCTCTCCTTAGCCACAATCTACACATTAACACCCCCAGACAGCTCACAACTTCAGAATGATGTATCTGGTTATTGGATATGTCCACAGATACATTTTATATGACCTGAAATGTATTGTGTCTCAAACTTATCTTTTCATCTTCTCTTCACCACCACCCCAATTTTTTTTTCCTGCATTGCCTCTCTCAGTGAGTGGTAGCACCAGTTTTCCAAGCCAGAAATTAAATTAAAAGAAATATTTGTTTGATTCCAGCAATTTTTGTTCTAACCATTATATTGTATTACCTGTTTTCTTTTTTTTTCCCACTCTTTATTGAAGAATTATATTAAACATCTTCTAGTCATTGTGCTAGGCTTTGAGAAAACAGAAACAATACCAGGTTAACTGAGACTTTGGGGATCTTAATCTAGTGTTATCACACTGTTTGTAAGTCAGCAGGACAGACTTCTCTGATAAACACTCACTGCCAGCTTAAACAATGAGAAACTCAGTGAACCTTGTTGGTCACTCTCCTTAAACCACATTTCCCAGGATTCTTAGTAGTTTGCACCATTCTTTAGCAGGGAAATAACCTTAGTTAGGATGTACTGCTTCTTTATTTGATTTCATCCTTGATTCCTCCTCTTTCTCTGACCATATCCATTTATTCATCAAACCTGGTTAATTCTGCCTCCTGAATGGTTCTGTTTTTTTTGTTTTTGTTTTTACCCAATCCACTTCCTCTTGTCCACAGCCTTAGTATAGCACCCACATCTCTCTCTTGACCTAAGCAACCTGTATAATGATCTCCTTGCCTTCAGTTTTATTCCTCTCTGATATAGTCTTCTCATGTTCAGGCATGGCAGGGATTGTAAAGTTGGTGCTGGACCAGGCCCACTCAACGGCACCTAACAACAAAACAATGATACAATCTTCTAAAGCATTCAGCTGCTAACCAAAAGGTCTGCAGTTTGAACCCACCAGCCAGTCTCTGGGAGAAAGATTAAGCATTCTGCTTACATAAAAATTTACAACCTTGGAAACCCTGTGAGGCAGCTTTACTCTGTCCTAAAGGGTGCCGACTCGACGGCACATAACAACAAAGGGTCACTATGAGTCAAAATCGACTTGATGGCAGTGGGTTTGGTTTTGGAATATAGTCTTCACACTACAAATTTGATCATTTTACTTCACTTAAAACCCTTTAGCTTCCCATTTCTCACAAAGGCTATTCCTGACCTAGCTCCTGCCTTCCAAAATCATACTGTTTCCTCTGCTTTGCATAGGCTCTTTCTTCTACCTAGAAAACTGCTTTCTTCCCCCTGCTCTCCTCTTTCTGTTAACACCTGTTTGCTCTTCAGGTGTTAGCATAAGCATCATTTCTTCCAGGAAACTCTCTGACCTTCCTACACTGCCTTAGATATTCCTGCTCTTTGTTTCTATAGCACTCCATTTCTCTTCATTATGGAGTTTATCCCACTTCAGTGTAGATGTTTCTTTAACTCTCTCTTCTATAAGACTATAAACTCCATGACAACAAGACAGCACCAGTCTTGCTCACTTTTCTCATCACAATTTAGTACATGACCTTGCACATGGTAGATGCTTAAAAAACATGTCGAATGAATGAATGTATGAATAAGTAAATGAATAAGTTTGTCTCTACCTTCAAGAAAATAACTCTTTGGGAAGGAAAGCTATATATATCATAAGAAGCAATTGCCATGATGTAATAATGCTAATGGCATCCATAGTATCACATTGACAGTCTACTAGCAGAACCCAGGTAAAAATTTGGTTCTCATGACTCCTACTAGTTTGTGACCTTTTTTTACTAGACCAGTACTGCATTTGGCTTAAACAAATACCCTGAAAACCTTTTTAAGTCAGCCCCTCTGGGAATTATTATTTTGTTTTTTTATGTCATCTCCTTTTTGCAAAATCCTCAATGCAATAAACACTTTGATTTTACCTTTCATCATGCCATACAGAACTTAGAAATAAAGATTTATGGTTTTTATCAGAATAAGACATTTCAAACAAACTAGGTGGTTGTCATAATATAACTTCTTTTTTTTTTTCAGTTGTTATAGCTGGTGATGGAGTACTAAAGGTAAGTTTATTTCTTTTCATTTAAAATATGTGTATGTTTGGTGATTTTAGATGTAGATTCTTGTGACTTACAATTCTTTTATTAGTTAATAAGCAGAAAGTGGTAACTGTTTCACTTTTCCCAGATCTGTGATTTTGGTGCCTCTCGGTTTCATAACCATACAACACACATGTCCTTGGTTGGAACTTTCCCTTGGATGGCCCCAGAAGTTATCCAGAGTCTCCCTGTGTCTGAAACTTGCGACACATATTCCTATGGTGTGGTGAGTTCATTTTTCATTTATTGTTGCTTAAAAGAAATACAAAAAGTGACAAATTACAGAAGCTAGCAGCAAGCATTTTTAGTTTAAAGCCAGAAACCAAACCCACTGCCATCAAATCGATTGCATCCATAGTGACCCATACCAGCAGAGTAGAACTGCCCCAGAAAGTTTCCAAAGCTGTACATCTTTACGGAAACAGACTGTCTCATCTTTCTCCTGGGGAGTAGCTGGTGGCTTTGAACCACCAACCTTTTGGTTAGCAATTGAATGATTTTCCCACTATGCCACTAGGCCTCCTACAGTGCCATCATAGCTCCTTATTTACAGTTTAACAGGTTTATTTCAGACACTGGTGCTGTTTCTAGTGGAATGCCTGGAGCAGTGACAAAAAGGAGAATACTTTCTAATTGCTAAAATACTACTAATTTAATAAAAAGAAATTACTGAAGTATTTACTTTTCTCACTTTTTTTTTTTTTGCATTTGATATATTTTGTCCTGTTTTGAGAAGCAACTAATGTCACTTCCAAGAAATAGATTAGATGGAACCTGAAGTAGTGTTGGACCTACTATATTCCTATGCAGAGTGCTTTTCAAGGTAGAAATCTGACTGTGGCATATCCCTGCAATTCAGTGAAAATACGGATCATTTGGAACAGGACTTCATTGTAGTGAAATACTCAAATAATATGAAACGCCAATAGATCTACCAAATGAGTTAATTAACAGAAAAATTTTGAATATCACCTATCCATAAAACTCTGATCAGTGAATTTCTGGAGAATACATGGCCTTGCCCATAGTTGGTACAAGTCTTATGAAGTAGTAGTGATTATCTGAAACATGCATGGCTCTTAAACATTATATAACCATGGGTGGTGCAAATGGTGGTACAACCAAGAAGTTGGAGATTTGGGTCCACCATAGGCACCTCAGAAGAAAGACTGGTATCTACTTCTGAAAAATCAGCCATTGAAAACCCTATGGAGCATAGTTTTACTCTGACGCATGGGGGCATCGTGAGTCAGAAATGACTTGACAGCAACTAGTAGTAGTAGTACATAAGACTAACAAAGCAACATAGTTATAAGAATGGAATAATGTTGAGGTGGGACTGCAGATGTTCAAGGAATAGAGACCAGAGTAATGAAGAATGAATAAGTTAAATAACAGAAGCTTCTGGAGGAGGAGTTTGAGACAGATGATTCCCTCTCTCTCTCTCTCCCTCTCTGTCCCTCTCTCTCTCTCTCTTTCTCTGTCTCTCGCTCGCTCTCTGTGTGTGTGTGTGTGTGTGTGGTTTTAACCAGATAACAATTTATCTTTTACATCAGTCCAGGGCTTCCATGGTGGCTTCACAATGTCCAAAGTTCCTTTTATTTTCTTTACTGCATAGTTTTAGTCTCAAAACTGCCTCATAGCCCCAAGATGGCCACTGCAGCACCAATAATCACACCCACAGTCCAGACAGGAAGAAAGATGAAAGGGAAAGGGACAGAGGAACCAAGCATGCTCCCTTTTCCAAGAATGTTCCTGGAAGCTCTACCCAGTGGCCTTCTTCTTCTATTTCATTATCCTGAACTATATCTCATGACCACACCTTTCTTTAAGAGTGTGGTAATTTTAAAGTGTCCACAAATTCCTGGATAGACCTCCTTTCGAGAGTGGATCCTAATTTTCACCCCCTGAGTGTAGAAGACAGGAGCTCTGGTGGCCTAGGGCCTAAGGCATTTGACAGCTAATCAGAAGGCTGGTGGTTCAAACCCACCAGCCACTCCTTGGAAGGAAGGTTGGGCAATCTACTTCCGTAGTGATATCGCCTCGGAAACCCAAGGAGGAGTCACTATGAGTCTGATCCGACTCGATGGCAGTGTGTTTGGTTTTTGGTTTTTTGAGTGTAGACGAGGCAGGTCATACTTGAGAGATACATTATGCCTACATTAGCAGAAAAAAAGAAGGGGGAAGTTGGTTCTTTGGTGGAAGAAGGAATTCATTTTTGCCTTTTTGAGGAATAAATCGTTTTTCCTCCAAAATGCTGTATATTCTTTAAAGCCTCCAAAATTGTGTTTGAAACTCCCTCTCTCTATGCCTCATGCCTCACCCAGTGTCTTCTCTACTTGCACTATTACGTCTTAAAGGGAAATCTTCATAGTAATGTCAAAAAAAAATAAAAACCAATTTAATCCTGATCATTGTATCTCTTCTTTCAGAACCTTTGTATTTTCTGACTGAAGGTGGTTGCTTGAGGACACAGGAGGAGACCAACATTGTCAAAGACTTTCCTTTCTTTATAGTTAGTCAGTCTCTAGGTATTTACTGCTGGCTTAATTATTTAGGTTTTAGACTTGTTTCAACTGGCTGACTTTTTCTAAATCATAAAATCTTACGTACAACAAATTAATTTAATGTAATAGAAATTAATTTTGTTGGCTATTGAAAATTTTATTTCAAGAATGAGGTATTTGTGTCTTGGGCTAAAGGCTAGAATATTTTTAGGTTGCAAGACAACAGTGGCATCAAGCCAAACATCTAATTTCCCTTAATTCTGGATGTCTTTGAGAATGGAGGCTATAAACTATTATAGCCAGCAATCAAATCTCTCTCATTCAAAAAAGGAAAAAGACGTAAGTTCCGGGAGAGACTAGATTTGAAAATACATCTCTTATGTCAAAGTTACTACATTCCAGCTATCACATAAACCATTTACTGGGGCCTCTGAAAATGGGGGAATTTGTTGTAATTAAAGACTTTTTGTGGGAATATGTTCTTTTATGGAGTCATGTTTCTTCCTTCACTTTTTTTTCCACCTTATTTAATTTGTATTCAAGTAGTGCAGTTAAGTACTTGAAAAAAACAGAGACTACTATAAAACTCAAGACAAGCAGCATTCTTATCCCACATCAATCCCAGCTTCCTCTTCATAGGAGCTACATTCAAATCGTTTTGCTGTTTTGGGGTTATTGACACTTGTATTCTTAAATCATGAGATTCTGTTGTTTCTCACTAGTTTTTTTAGGTTTGGACATTATGTGTTCACTTTCTACTTTGACGAGGGTTTTAGGCTTTTCTTCTTTTCTCCATACTTTCAATACTATTTTATCACAATTTTTAAGCTGATATGCAATGTCTTCATTATCGTGACCACATAAATATTGTCATAGCAGAGTTTATAATGTACTTTATCTTGTAAAGTGTTTAGTTTTCCCTGTAGTTAATAGTAAACTTTTTACTTGCATATTTTCAGTTATAATTCATATATTTTGTGTCATATGAAAACTTTGTGAAACCTTTTTTCACTCCTATGTTTTCTTCTAGAATCTATAGATTTTACTTCTTGCATTTAGGTCTGAATTAAATTATCTAAATTTTAAAAATTTAGGTAATATTTTTTGGGGATGATATATAGTGTAAGGTAAGGATTGAAGTTCTTTTATTTTCCCCCATGTGGCCATTCGTTGAAAAGATGCTTCTTTCCCCATTTGATTGCTCTGGCACATTGTTGAAAATCAGTTGACCATGTATGTGTAGGTCTCTTTCTGAGCTCTCTATTCTGTTTTCATGTACCAGTTCATTCCCAAACTGACCATCAGAGCTGGGGAGCATCCATCAGTTCCAGCAAACACATCAGTCCCTCACAGCCCTTTTTTTCTTACTAACGTCCAATAGCTGTCAGACTTCCTGTTTGTGTTGGGACTGGTGGCTGCCTAGTTGCACTGCCCTACAGCTGTCACCCAGGTGTCTCTGTCCCTTTGTCTGGGGAGCTTCAGGACTTCTTAGCTCTTTCTGATGACAGATCTCCTTTGTCTAGGTCCAACACTTTCTCATTCTTAATTCATTCCCTGTGTTTATGGATCACAGTCCTTGATAGTTTTCTGGTACAGTTGCACTGAGGGTAAACTTTCATAACTTTGAACATCTCCTCACATTTGATTGATATTTTGACTGGATATATAATTTCATGTTTAAAACCATTTGAAGTTTTGTTCTTCTTGTACTGATATAGAATTTCCCAGTCCCTAGTGCATGACTTTTTAGGGTATTTTTTTTTTTTTTTTTCTAAAATCTTTTAGGGTTTTCTCTTTACTCATAGGTATGAGTTTCCAGTGCTGTGCTCTTGTGGTCATTTTTCATCCGTTGTGCTAGAAAAGTAAGATGGGTCTTTTCAACCTAGAAACTTTATGTTCTTCCGTATGGGGGATTTATTATTGTTGTTATTATTATTATTATTTCCTCTCTACTCCTTTTTAATCCTACAATTCTTACTAATTAGAAGTTAATTATCTAATTTTCTTATCTTATATTTGCCTATTCTTTCTCTCCACTCACCCCCTCCCCCATCTGGGAAGTTTTTTTCTCAACTTTATCTTCCAAGTCTATTTAATTTTCAGATTAATTTTAGAATAAAATATTAAAAGTTCTTTTCTTTTTCTCTGGATATTTCTCCTGGCTGCCCAAACCGTCTTACCCTTGAATCATGAATACAGTATTTTCTCTCATCTCTGAAGATATTTATTCTTGTATTTTAATGTTTTCTGGTCTTTGGATTGAGCCTATTTCCTCCTAGTTTTTTTTTCCCCCTTTCCATTTGTTGAAGTCTTTGTCTTCTCTGTGAGAGGGGTTTATGAAAAGGTTGATAATCTCTATCTGTTTAGGATAGATCTCTATCACATTTAAGAGTTAAGTGCTGAAATCCTGCTCAGAGGCTGGGTGTTCGTGGGCAGTCCTTGTCAACCAGGGGGCTGTCATTGTAGGGGACTTTTCTGCTTGGGGGACCATGAATGTGTACTTTCATTCTTAAACAAATATTTATTTCTTGTGTCAGGTACTATGCTAGACATCAACTTTGTTGTTGTTGCTGTTATGTGCCATCGAGTCAGCCCTGACTCATAGCAACCCCTCCTTGGGTTTCTGAGGCAGTATCACTATGGAAGTAGATTGCCCCATCTTCCTTCTGAGGAGTGGCTGGTGGGTTTGAACTGCCAGCCTTCTGGTTAGCAGTCAAGT